AATTTTAATAGTAGAGATATTTTGCTGATAACCATAGCCTCCGTTTGGGAAGTGGGTTGGCTTTTTGGCTTTTTGGCCTTTTTGGCTATTTTAGCCTGGGCTTAAAAGCTTGGTTTGGGAAGGGCTTTTTGGCTTTTTTGAGTTTTTTTGTGAGAGAAGAATGTAATGATTATGGGTTGGATGTGATGTTTTGTTTGTTATGGCTAAAATAGCCTATTTTGTCTTTTGTGGCTAAAATAGCCAAAAAAGCCCAAGAACCAACTTGCCAAACAGAGGCTTAAATATGCTATTATTGTTTTGGTTATATTTTATATAGTGTTTGGTTATGACTCATTTTTTTTAGCTACGACTAAAAAAAATTAGTTATGACTTTTGTGGTAATCAATAGCACAAATGTTATAACTTGTATATGGTACACATAAAATAGTGTGTATTCTAGAATAACCTATTATTATGACAAAAGTGATAATGAAATGAATTAAAAAATTAATTACATAAATATAGGATAAGTTACTTGGTACTTTTTAATTAATACTTGACATCATACAGTTCAGTTGTGTTCTAAAAATAAGAAAAAAATTGATGAGTCCCACTATTTAAACTAATAAAAGCCAAATTGAGACACCACATGCATTTATTTGAATAGTAGTAAATATTATTTTGAAATACTCACATGGTTTGACTATATATATGTATACATAATTTAGGGGCGGGCTTCTCTCCAGTCCCAAATCAGACTGGAGAGGAATTGTTAAGCTCATTGGGTCCACTTTTAGACTTTGTTTCGATAATTGAAATTGTTTATATTTTAGGATTCATTGAGTACATAATCTCCGTCAAAAATCAAATCGAGCGGATAATGGCAACAACATACTTGGATAAGTTGTGTATAAAAAATAAAAAAAAATAGATGGTGAGAAAATAAATAGTTTATACAAAATTGATCTAAACAAGTGGTTTATGTTATCCCATCAATTTGATTTTTTGTAAGAATAATATACTCAACAAACTCTAAAATTTAAACGGTTTAGATTGTTAAAACGGATCCCAAAAACTGATCCATTGGGTTGGATTGGACTGTCCAATTTGACAAAGGACGGGAGACAACCTAATCCTTATAATTTATTGCTTTACATGCATATATAAGTTCTTGTATTTTTCATTTGATTTTAATAATCAATTACGGTTTTTTTCTTTTCTTTTTTTTTTTAAGGGGAACAATTCATACTATAATTTTGTTTATCTATAAATGATCAACTGATTTCTTTTATTAATTTATTAAAAATCACTTCAAATATTATACAAATCAAACTAAAATCTCCATATGTACTAATCTAACAACTAACCACTAACTTTCATACACACACACAAAAAAAAGAAAGAAAAATATTTGTTAGTTAAACTAATGGTCAACTCACAAATTGGAGGAATTTGCAAATAAAAAATAAACCTTAAAGGAGATTAATGTAATTCCAACAAAAAGGAGTGGATATCAGTGTAAGTGTCAGAAATCTTAAGAGTGGTAATTTATCTTAAAAAATTGACTAAAATGTAAAATGAATTCACTAAAAATAAAAATACAAAAAATAAAAAACTCAAAATTATATACGAAACTCATAACATATTCACTCTCTCTTGCACTTAAAATTGCTATATTTTTTTAGTTTTAGCTTTAGAATATTTATAAAAAATACTAAAATATTATTTTAATACAAATAAATATAAAAAGATGTTTTTGAACTTTTAAAAATTATTTAATATATAAAAATAATATATATATATATATTAATATCACATTAATTTTAGGAAAATCCCATGTAATGTTTTTTATTTAGTGTTCTAAGTATACCACATGATAATATTATCTACAAATTACTAAACATTATGCCCTATATTCCAATACAAAATTGTCTCCACCAATCACAATTCTTTTAGGTAACATGTGACAATACCCCAAGAGCGCTAGACAACTTTTCCTCACTCATTATTTATTTTGTTGTTTCAAAACTTAAAAATTTTATAACTTTTATTATACATATTTATTTTTAAATAAAATTTATATTTCACAAGTCTACACAATGAGATCTATTAAACAAGATTAATATTGAATATAAAATTTTAAAAAATTAAAATATAATATATTTTTTTAAACTATATGAAGTTGAGAATTTTTCAATCAGTGAAATTGAGAAATTTTTAATTTTCACAATAAATTTTATACATTTATTTCGTCAAAAAATTATTTTACACCTCAGGCCAGGAACACGCGTTCGGGTTACTTCCTTCCAACTATTGTGCTTCAATATTGATTTTGTTTTATAAATCTTGTTGTATAAATTTCAAAATATAAATTTTATATAAAATAATTATATATAATAAAAGTTTAAAAATTTTGAAACAATAAAAAAAACAGAAGTAAATGTCACATAAACATTGTGAAGTGTGCCCACTTTAGTTAGGAGAAGTTCTGCAGGGCATTTGAGAAGTGCCTATTTTAATTAGTTTTTATTTTTATTTTTTAAAAAAATATGTAAAAAATAAATAAAGTGATGTGATTGGGTATTTTTCTTTTGAAAAATGATTCATTTATCGAATTTAGCTTGTCTGAATTACCAAAATTACATAAGAAATTGCTTGAATTATATAAGTCGAATGACTACGTTGAACGACTAGTGTCATCCTTGTCAACCAAGATTGTCACTCTTGTCTACAGGTGTGTCAATCGACATCCGGTAAATCGACATCCTACCGGATGATCATCTGAACGACTGTCCAAATGACCGACCAGATGACCGATATATACAAATTCGGACAATTTAGACGAGTTCAGATTTGGTGGATGTTTGGTTATTTTAGCCAAATAACGACCACCCCAAATGGGGTCTTAGTACTCTCTAGGCATGGTCTAAGGCTGAATAAGGAATCCGTAAAATCCGTAATCCGATCCAGTCCAGTCCAATCCGATAGGTTTGGATTGGTTTTTTGTATCCGTGGTTCGGTTTCGGATTAAAAAATTAAAAATCTATAGTACACGGATTGGTTCCGGATTGAACCCCACGGTTTCGGATTGGAACCGATCCGGACCGTATACAAATAGTATATATTTTTATTATACATCCTCCCCCATAGTATCTTCTCTTATTCTATATAAAATCTAAACTCAAACCTAAAACCGTATAATATCTTCTTTTATTACTTTTGTTTGTTAGTTTTTAGTTTTAATTTGTAATGGTCTAAATACTTATGGTGAAACCAGTTTTCTTATGGTTGTTTAAATTCTAGCACAGTGTGTCGCTATTATAGAAAAACATGTTGCTATTGTGGAACTAATATAGCGCTATGTTTATCCCTTGCGACGTGCCCCCTTCCGCCGAAAGCCCGTGCCGTAACTTACTTTGTTCAGGGTGAGGGGGCTCTGTTCCGACGGGGAGGTGTTGTCGTAATAAATGCTGTGATGGGCTGCATTAATGGTGATGTGTTGTGGCAATAACTCTGTAGATCTTTGTCTGCTGATGTAGACTGTGTTCCACCTGCCATGTGCCCGAATGCCA